GGTGGAAGATAAGAAGAGTGAATTTATTTGGGACTTTTTTGATCACTTTTATATATAAGATTGCTGTTATCTTTATGAACACTAATTGGCTATTGTATCTATACACCCCTGTCACCTGCAGCCTGAAGACCCCAACAGTGACTGCACCAGGTTGGATTCGGTTGCTGTTCAGCTGACAATTTTCCACCCAGTTTCTTTGATTTTTCCAATTGACGGTGGTCTGCTCTGTCTGACCTCCACGGTCCCAAACATTTTCAGCATGTACAGGAAATACCTGTTGATCCTGCAAGAAATGCAATGATCTTGCCCTGTGAGCTAAAAAGACAGCAAAACAAGGTGGTCTTTGTTGAGTAAACTTCTAATCCTATTAGCTATTGTAAAATGAAGATGAACAAAGGTAGATGTTTGAAGTCCAGCCTGTGTGACATGCATGGCTGCCCCCATAGATACAGTAGAGAAGTAAGTGTAGCTATGAAGTCAGTAAGTGTGTTATTTGCAGGATTACCAGGTAAAAATAAAGGAGAAAAAGGCTAAAAAAAAAGAAAATAAATGCAACACATGTAAGGACTGATAATCTACAATATATATTTGTTTTAGGATTTATATTCACTTTAAATGTCTTCAGCTGCTGAAACTGGACCAGCATCCCTGAAAGGAGATCATAATAATGTTCACATATTTGTCTTGGATGAAGCTAACATCATGATTACATACCAAATAGTTTTTTTTAGTATCGGTCAAAGGACCTCTCTAAACATATGGACAGTGTAACCTCGTGCCAGAAAAGCTGCCTTTCATTTCTTACATTAATTATTTTCCGCCAGTTGTTGCCCAGTAAAAGTATTTGTGTAAATGCTCAACTGAATTCAGCAATTGTGTTGTGTAGTATGACGAGCTTTCTTCCGATCAGCCCTTGCCAAGCCCTTTATTGAAAGCAAACTTCACGATCAGCTTGGGAAGGGCCCTGCACCAGAAAACTCTTCCAGACTAGGACCCTATAGTCTGGACTGTCAAAATGTGATTGTCGATATGAACCATTCTCCTGCCTTTCATTGTTCCTCCGTACATTCTATACAAGCCAAGAGCTCATCTTACTTTAATATTTTCACAACTGCAAAACAAATGCTACAAGGTGATTTTGGATTGCATATGTCATACGTGGGGTGTTGGGCCTTTACTCTACTATCTTGTTTGATAAGAAATGGTCAAAGAAAATGTCTATTAAATAGGGAGACCATATAATGCAGGGGTAAGCAAACTCTGGTCCTCCAGTTGTGGTACAACTACAAATCCTATTAAGCATAGCAAGCAATGAACCCCAGAGGCAGATGCATGATGGGATTTGTAGCTTTACCACAGCTGGAGGGCCGGTGTTTGCCTACCCATGACATAAGGGTTGATTTACTAAAGGCAAATAGGTTGTTTACCTTGCAATAGAATTTGCACTTTTCAAGGGAATCGTCCCTTAGCTTAGTGATCAGGGTGAAGCTCTGCTGACTTCCATCATCCAATCATGTGCAAGCAAAAATACTGTTTATTTTTATTTTCCTTGCATGTGATTGGGTAATCTTTGCAAAGTGAATGTTCACCACATTTGCTGAGCCACAGTGAAAATTCTATTGGAAAGTGAACAGCCTTTTTGCTTTTAGTAAATTAACCCCTATATCATGGGTAGGCAATCTCCAGCCCTCCAGCTGTGATAAGACTACAGTAAATTAACTCCACCATGTCTACATTGTTGCACTGAGGTGTCCAGGCCTTAATGGATGATAGTTTATCAGAATAACTATTCAAAAAGTCTGGTGAAGGGGTCAGACAGTCAATGACAGAAGAACACCAACGTAGTTACTTAAAGGGGTATCTATGGTCAAAAACTATAAATAAATCTGTATTTGTGTTTTGAATTTCTCTATGTTCTATCCCACTCCCAATAACCATATCACTGTACAACTCAATGTTTGAACAATGTAACATTATCATTGCTTGCTGGCAGCAGTTAATTCACTGCCTGTCAAGAATGTGTAAATACCTAAATGTCCATAACCTGATTTAAGCAGATTAACATTTTGGGCAAATGGCGTTGCCTGTGAACACATAATGTATCATGAATGCAAATATTTAGTAATATTGGAGCCCCTGAGAAAGTCTACTGCTGAAACATATAGGGCAGGATCAAACTACATTAAATCTGCTATGTCCGCCCCAGCTGAATAGGGTAGCTGTGTGCCATTGTTTGTGGAGCTGTATCGTGCATGCGTTATAGTGCTATATAGGCACTATGAAAATGTAAGTTTTAAATGTGATTCATTTCTAGTTTTGCATGATTTGGAAGCTTTTGTGGAAGCAACATGTGATATGGAGGTTTCATACTGTTCCATTGCTTTGAAGTGTGGATTGACACTTTCTACTGTCATAGGCTTTTCCTCAACCAAGGAGGGCTGTTTGACTTTCCTAATAGGGGTCAGCATCTAAAAGTGAGCTGCTGTCTATTAGGTGTTGTCTCAGGTGTTGTTTTCATTTTAAATTTAAGGTGCATTTGTAGTCTATGTTCATATAAGGGTGGATCTTGAAACACTTTTTTTACTGCTCACACAAGGATGAATGAATTATAACCTTCATGAACAATATATTATTTTTTTTATGCATATTGTAATTTTTAGGGTGAAACACAGATACTATTATTATTTTTTTTACATTAAATGTATCTTAAAAAAAAATAATATATATTTTTGTCACACATTGTAATTATCTAATTTATTTACCCTTTTTACCTTTTTCATGTCATGTCTGTTGAGCTGCATTAGTGCATTTTTGGTGTACAGACTATATTTTCCCTGGTTCCTTTTTCTTCATATTTTTTGTTAAACCATTTTTTATTTCTCATATAAAACAAACTTTGACAAAAAAAGAAAGTGGCTTGAATTCTGGCTTCCTAATCTACGCTGTAAACTTTCAATCTATCCCAGAAATTTTAATTTGAAATCGTGACCATGGTTAGTATTAATAATTCCCCCTTCTTTTTATATTATTACGGAGGAGAGCCAAGACTCATTCTTCTGCCCAAGGTTAAAAGAAAGTATTTATGATCTGCTAGAAGGAGTAAATCTTTTCAGAGTTTATATTCCCCCTGCTGCGGTTCTGCATTAAAAATGTGTTTCAAAGCTCAGGGAAAGGGGAAAGGTTCGCAGATAATGGCAGATTGCTATCATTGGTTATACAACACGCTATCGTTTTTTATTTTTCTATTAAAGTAGTAATAAACCCTCAGAGTTTTTTTTTTTACATTTTTGCACTTAGGTCCACCAAAGACACTTTCGCAATACAGAATTGTTCCTCAATATGTTGCCAATTGCTTACATTTTTAAGTTGCTTTATCCCATCACTATCTATTTCTTATTGGTGAATCAGGGAGCGCACACTATTTGGAATAAAGTCCTCGCACATCTGGACTACGTGTCCTATTATGCTTTGCACCTTGTACACTTTTGAGCTTTAAGCTACTTGTTTCATGCAGCACCAGCATGTAGGAATGTAGTCTCCAGCTGGGTTTAAATGTCAGGGGACTGATCCGGGGTCTGAATGTTAAGGAGAGAGTCATTATTGACAGGGGGGCTAATTTTCCTCCCACTGACCACTGACATCAGAGCGTTGTTTTCCTCCCATGGACTACTGAGTTCTGGGCATGTTTATACTCTCATTGACCACTGAGAGTTGATCCCTTTTTCCTCCCACTAACATCAGAGCATTTTTCTCCCACTGACCAATAATTGTAGACATTTTTCATCCACTTACCAATGACACCAGGCATTTTTCTCCTACTGACCAATGATGCTGGGCGTTTTCCTCCCACTGATCAACAGCAGTGGGGCATTTCATTTTTATCCTACCGACCAATGGCCCATAGTATTCATTTCTCCTTCTGACCACCAAGAGAGGGGCAGTTTTGTCTTTCTCCCACTAACGACCCATGCCAGGAATTTTTTCCCCCTTCCATTAACCAACAATGTAAGCCAAACCACCTTATAGTGTTCATCATGAGCACATGTGACAGGGTGTCAATGCAAGAGAACAATTGGTTTACCGAGACAGAATGTTGTCACCCTATAACAAGAAGTGCCTGAACACAGACCTACATGGCAAGATCACCCAGTACTTTTTTTGATGTTGTTCAGATAGTTTTGATTGAATTTTCAATTTAACAGAAGGACAAGTAGTACAAACAAGAACAATATAGCTGTTACACCTTGTGCAAAACAAGGAACACTGGTTCACATCTATAGTTACATAGATACATAGTTAGTCAGGTTGAAAAAAGACACAAGTCCATCGAGTTCAACCTATAGAGAGGCTGTTGGCTGTCACTGGTGGCTGTGAGGACGATGTGCCGCTGTTCACATCACTGAAAACCTTTCCTTCTCACAGCCGCTGCTGAGTCAGTGACAGCCAGAAGCTGCAGAGGAGGAGGCAGGGCCTGGCGTCGGCAGCGAGGGAGGAGGTGGGGCCCAGTGATGGAGGAGGATGAGCCTGGAGATGGAGGAGGCAGAGCAAGTGACAGAAGACGCGGGGCCCGCCAGCGACCGTGGAGGAGGAGGACAGTGGATCAGGGGTGACAGGTAAGAGGGTTTGACCAACCCCCAGAGATCCTGCAGAGCCCACCATAGAGAGTCTATGGTGGGCTTTCAGGTGGGCTATTTGGGTTATCAGGTGGGCGTAAATGGAAATCTCAGGGCCCCATACAAAATTTTACTATTGGGCCCCGTGATTTCTAGTTACGCCCCTGTTTAGGGAGGCAGCTGACCTCATTTTTTTGGGTACATAATGTTGCTGAACCTAGACCTGAGCAACTGAAGCCACCCCAGATCATAACAAATCTAAATCCAGGTTGTGACTTTTTTGTCCTGGTTTTGTATTTGTAACAGATCAATATCCTATGTTTAGTTATGTAGTATGAACATATATATTTTTTATTGTAATTATCCTTTCAATGCTTTTATTTATAGGAGTAATCTAAAAGTGGGCAGTGAAGAAGACCTGTTAAGACCAGTGGTAAGAAACCCAAATTCAATGTTAACATACATATAAAAACAAGCTGTTAATACCATTCAAATGTAGTTATATAAAATCTCGGGATCATATCAGAACTAAGGAGAATTGGAATAACAATACCACCGTTAGGGTTGAGTTAATCAGTTGTGTAGACCTGGGTTCATACCTATATTGCCTTTCCACGATTATACTGTATGTTCTCGGTAGTTCGCCACTTCACTCCAGGGGCTGACCAATACTTGGTGAACTTGGTCTAAAGGGAAATTACCAGTTCACTTCTCCAGCTGCAGAGAACACAATGCCCACCTTTTCCACCAATGGAGTCCAGTCAGTACTGTAAAAAGGATCTAATATAGATCCAAATTTTTTTTAAGCACTTTGCTGCCATCATGTTCCACCCATGTTACTCTCTCTGCTGCCCCAAGGCCAGGTTCTTCAATGAAGCCCCCCTGCCCACCAATCCCCCCCAATGGAGAATGGCAGACCTGCAGGCTGTATACAAGTGATCTCAGCGAACTCGCCGAGATCACTTGTACGTAACAAGAGGCAGTTTCCCCGCTGTACATTTAGCTCTGCTTGCCCAAAGCAGGGCTAAATGTAGAAAACAAATAGGCACCCGGAATTGCATGTCCAGGGCATCAGCACATAGGAATTCCAGACCCCTGCGGCCACTCTACTCCCTGCTGCCCCAAATACGGGCCTCTGTTGGCCTTGTGGGAAATCCGGCCCTGGTTACACCCCCTTCATTACTAGGCCATTTTTCAGTTTTCAGCGCTGTTTGGCTGAGAATTACTTACGCAACACTGTAACATATTTAATTTGATATTTTTTTTAACAAATAGAACTTTCTTTTTGTGATGTTAACAATTGCTATTTTTTCATTTTTCACTATATAAATTTTAAAAAGACCAAAATAATTTTTTTTTAAACCCTGTTTCTCTTACTTTTGCTTATAAATGAAAGCAAACAAAAATGTCAAGACAGTATGAAAATCACCGAAATGACCCTTTTTTGGAAATTAGACACTCCAAGGTGATCTGATATTTTGCCACTGTTTTATGGAACTGAAGAAACATGCCGGTATTGAGGGGCTTAAAACATAGAGCTTGGTAATATTTTTTTGAGATTTTATTATTTCTGGGGGGATTTTTTGCTGCTAGTGAAGCTTATTTTCAATAGTAAGTAATTAATGGATGACTCATACATTCAATACTCACTTTACTCTCCCCTGCCTCTGATGTAAGAGAAAGGGTAGGATTTGGCAATGTAAACATTGCCTTGTAATCGCTATGATAACCAATTACAGCGATCGCAGGACACAGAGCCAGTCCTATTGCCTCTGTGTCTAAAGCCGCAGTTCTCCACTATCTACTGACAGATGGGAGGAGCGGCCGCATGTGCACACGTGTTCAGGAGAGCATGTACAGGTATGTCCTCCTGAAACAATGTACTAGCAAACCGGCTGTTTTAATACAGTGGCCGGTACGCAGGTGGTTAAATACAGAGGGCACAGGGAGGATATGGGGCAAGATTCATTGCCCACTGTAATGTAATGTAATAACCCCAATAAATAAGAACTATACCTTCTTATTATGTGCTGCCCTAATAAACAACATTCGTACTTACTAATTAGGCTAAAGAGATGGGGAATTTAAACTTGTAATGCTCTGTATTGTCTACACGTGCTAGTACTGCTGACATTGCAAAGGCCCAATAGGCCCTTTAACTAGTTCACCATATGGTGGGTAGATTGCGTATATTTATTGGGTGAAGCAAATCCCTGCAAAGCTTCAGCGGACCAAGTTTATCGAGATTTGCTCATCTCAGGTGTTCCTTTTTTTGAGAAGCAGCCTGTACATTTTTCTTTTGACTTTTTACAATGTATAAACTACTATTACAGATGTCTTTGTATGTTTATTTTTTAACTGCTTTACTCTAATTTATTTTTACTTTATCAAAGCATACTTTCAATTTAAATCAGCTAAATACATCCCAGGTGCTTCAAAATAAAAACTAAGAACACAAAGCGAACAGCTCACCCCTTTCATGCGTCCCCGCAATCCACACTCGGTGCACGGATGACTCTCTTCTGGAGTGATAGGCTCAGAATCTGTAGGACCAGCACACTATGATCTTCCAAAGAAATTCAAACTTTATTTCACATGCATCTATACAAAGAACACCTGCTAGCGGTAAACTAAACCCAATGATATTCTTCTCCTAAACACTGTTATTTCCCCTGGATGTCAGAAACACACATTTATTTAATCATTTGTAATTTTCTTATCATTTCTATAATTTCCATGGTGTAAAGCCAACATGGGATCTTAGGTTCCTGTTGTTAAGTCCCCGATAAAAGTTTTATTCCAAACACAACTTAAATCAAAGCAGTTACAGATGTGGCAGCTGTCAGCAAGTGCTTAAAGTGATATTAAAGTCAAAATGTTTTTAAGCTATTTCAAATGCTGATGAAATCACTTACAATGGATGGTGCTCCCTGTTGTTTAAAAGTTTTAGTTTCCTGCAGAATCAGCTGGTCCCGTGAGTACTAGTCCTGATATTCTGTTTTAGGGTGACTCCTTTCCCTTGCAGGGTCCTACGGAGCCACCCGTGTGTGTGTCCCCACAGACAATGAAAGCGTTTTTCTCTACGCCTCAAATAATAGAAATATATTAACCTGATTCTCAATCCTGTCTGGCTGCTAGACTCTTCTTCCCTGGCCTTCAGTGGTCTATGCCCCGCTGACATCAACATATCTAATAGAGTCCATTCACAGCTGGAGCAGAGGGGGAGGGAGGTGAACTCTGACTGTCTTCTTTATTCCAGCTCCTAGAGAAAAATGAGCAGCTAACCCTTGCAGTGCGGTGGTAGCCCCACTGCAAAGGTTAACACTTTGCGTACCTAGAGTTCTTCTTTAAGAGAATCACATTTTCCTGATTACGATCATGTAATACTTTCTGAAACATTTTCAATGGTAACTTAGTCAATTATAGCGAGGGCTATATCTCACCATATTATCCTTCTATACCCTTGAGCACTTTATAAATACTGTGTTCATATGTATGATAACTGCTGACCTGCTCAACATCCTATCTGGTTGTTTGTATCCCACCGTGTCATCACTTTGTAATGCAACACAAGACTTTGCATTACTTACCCTGTAACATTGTAAGGCCCCATTCACACCAGGGCGTTTGCGGATCAGCGTGTTTACCACGCAGATCTCAAAAGGGAGGTTTTGGAAGTTTCCTTATTGATTTCAGAGTTAAAACGCAATTTAAAAAGGCCCAAAAACCGCGCTGATCAGCACGGTTCCATTGAAAGCTGATCAGCGTGGCAAAAACAGTGCAGGGAGCAGTTTGGGCGGGGGTGGTTCGGATCGTGCAGACCCATGTGGTCGCATGAACGGTCCCCATAGCAATGTATGGGATCTAAGACAATCATGTGCCGAGATATATAAGTAGAATTCAGTGAAATATGTGATGAACAATTAAATATATGAGTATATGTTTTAAAAATATATCCAGAAAAGCATATCAAAACATGAAAATATGTGAACAGAGTGAAAAACACAAAGTCCAATGTACAGCAATAAAAATCGTGCAAATAAATGCAGGGGATAGTCCACCACTGGATAGATCCAAACTTCCAAGTGAGCCGTTGCCACAGAATCCGGACAGACTTTCACCTCCACCCAGTGAATGCAAAATTGGAACAGAGCTCACCTGGGAAGATAGACCCACAGAACTAGGTCTAAAAGCACATTTCCCTTCTTAATAGGGGAGGGAAGCCCGTATGACTGAAGACCAGGTGACCTCCTCAGCTCGAAAATAACATCATAATTTCAAAGGGAAATAGTGCGTATCGTCCAAACAAATGCAATTTATTAAATAAAAAAAGGGACTCACAATGTCACAAGTGACAAAAGGCATAAAACAAATATATAATGGACACCACAGTACAAATCTATGGGTGCAAAGGGACTCCTATCCGTCCGGCTCAGCTAAGAGGAGTAACTTCAAATGGGATGGGATCGTTCATGTCGGGGGAGACGTGCGGCCGAATCCATGCAGCTGAACCGCTCCGGTGTGAACTGGGTCTAAAACCCAATAAAAAATTTATTAAAAATGGAAAAACAAATTCTAGGTCATACATTTTTGATGATTATCACATTCAGCGCTATACGAGGCTTTCTTAATTATATGATACCTTTTTTAATGTCATGTGAGAGTTTTTCTAAAACAATGCAGACTAATGATTTTAGGGCAGTTTCTTTATAATTATGAAGAACTGTAACTCAAACAACATTAGGAAAAAAATAAAACATTGTTATTTGCTTTTCCCAAAGTTGTGAAAGCTCAAGCAAAAAAGGTGATCTGTACGTAGTGTGAAGGATGGAGGGTCCCAGACTGAAAGAAGGAGGGCCAGGTAACCGACTGCCCTCTTCCTACTGTCCAAGTTGAGATTTGTAATCCCTCTACAGCTTGGAGTCGGGGGGAGTGCCAGGGCCCAGTCGCAGTTGCAACTTCTGTGAATCTGGTAGTTCTGCCACTGGCTCCAAGCTGTAGAGGGACTACGAATCTCAGCAATACATTATATAGCTATGAAGAATGCCGCTAGCTATAGAGGAACTACAAATCTTAAGAATACAATATACAGCAATGCAGAATATCATGAGCTATAGAGAACTACAAATCTCAGCAATACATTATACAGCAATACAGAATGGCACTGGCTACAGAGGACTACAAATCCCAGCAATACATCATATAGCAATGCAGAATAATGCCATCAGCTATAAAGGACTACGCACCCCATCAATACATTATACGGCATGGTAGAATATGGATGGGGGATCTCCCCTGATGGGAGACTTCCCTGGTTCCCATGATGGACAGCCCACAGCTGTCAGAAAACACAACAACTGTCAACAATTTTCCACCTGCCTTTCATTTAAAAATTTACTTTTATGCGGGCAGTGGTGCCGTCCGAACCACGCACAGATCAAATTTTGGTCAATTTAGCAGGAAATGGCTGCAATTCAATCTGTTTATGACCAGCTTTAGAGATGGTTGAATGCTCATGATACATAGAATGTGCGTGAGCTACAAAGAGATCACTGCACAGATCACAGATAATCCAGTTTAGCTTTGAGTAATAATTTTTTTTATTATGCAACGTTACATTATTAATATGACCCAACATCACAGTTATCATTTAAAGAATATAGAGTTGAATTTTTATCAGTGTTGGATATTTTTTTCTTATATAAAAAATATACAGTATGAAAACAAAAATATGTTTTGTTTTGAAAAGAATAGGGAATGCTTAAAAATGTTTGTGGGTTTTTTAAAATTATTATTTATGTTGCTGCCTGCATCCCCATTGGGAAGATATCCCTTCCCATCCTGGTCTAGAACACAAAAGGAAGTAAAAGAAAATCTTTCCAAAGTGATGGAAACCCCCTCTTAAGCTGGCCATACACCTATAGATTATCTGCAGATTTTCTATGGTCAGATGGAAAAAGTGCAACATATTCCTCCATCTACGCTAAACTGTGTGCATGGAGGAATCTCCCACTGGGCTAAGCTTCAGTATCTTGCTAGTCGGCCCCGCTGGCTCTCAAAATACCTGAACAATCTGATGGGATGCAGGCATTGTTCAGGTATTTTGAGAGCCAGCTGGGTAGGCATCCCTGAAGGGATGAGTCTTTAGGGATCACCTAAAAGCAGACAGAGTAGAAGATAGACAGACAGGTTGGGGTAAAGAGTTCCAGAGAATGGAATAGACTCTAGAGAAGTCCTGGAGGCAAGCATTGGAGGTGTTGATGAGGGAGCAAGAGCAGGAGGTCTTGGGAGGAGCAGAGGGGACGGTTAGGTGATACTTTGAGACAAGGTTGGAGATATAGCCAGGTGCAGAGATGTGGATGGCTTTGTAAGTGGTTGTTAATATTTTTAGGGGGGGGTTGCAGACACTGAGCAGTTGGTTAGGTGGATGAGTCCAGCAGCAGCATTCATGATAGACTGAAGGGGGAGGAGCCTGTGTAGAGGTAGGCCAATGAGGAGGGAGTTGCACTAGTCAAGACGAGAGATAACAAGGGAGTGGATAAGTAGCTTTGTGGTTTCATTGATTAGGAATGGACGTATTGTGAAGATTGTACGAAGGTGAAGGTGGCGGGATTTGGATAGTGATTGGATGTGGGGCAGAAAAGTGAGGTCCGAGTCAAGGATGACACTTAGCACCTTGGCATGGGAGAGGGATGGCCTTGCTGACTGGAAATTCATTTATTAAAAGAGAAAATAAAACAAGCCTAATAGGTAGGATGAATCTCCCCAGAGAGGACCATAATAAAAACCAGACAGGGGTTTTAACTCTTCCAAAATGATGAGGTTTCATTGCTTTAGATACATTTAACAATATTGAATTTATTTTGCTTGTTGCCAACCTTACAATATCGCATTGTCATTTCAAAAATACTCCTCTATACAGTATACGGTTGTATTACCTATAATAACCCTCATTGGCCAGTGCCTAGGGTGTGGGGGTTAGAGGTGTCAGCCCCAAGCTAAAAAATGTACAACCTGTAATAATAATTTCCTTATTTTATTTTGCTCCTCTGGCCACCTCTGAACATTTGTGAATGCATTCAACAAGAGAACCGTAAGGGTAAAGCCGGTGCAGGTGATGTTGAGAGGACTCAGAGAGGGGAGAAGGGAGTCAGAAGGCTCTTTAGTTTGGTGAAGAGATGGAAAACTAATGTTACCAACATATGTATTCATAGAAGAGATCTTTTTAGATTATTTATATAAAAAAAACATTTAGTCCAGCTAATATGAACTACTTTGTGACACAAAATTTGCAGAGCTTAATAGGGTTTTTCTTTCCCTTTTCAGATATGAATGGCATAAGCATCATTCTTCTCACCTGGTTCATGGCTCTGGTTCATTCCCACATTGTTATGGAAGAGAAAACAGAGAGGATCAATGCTGGAAGTGCTGTACGGCTTCCTGAGCTTCTCCCACCAATATCCATTGTAGGTCAGTAACAATCTGGTATGATAAATATATATTGTATACACATGACAAGACTAGAAGGTGTAAAGAACTTACAACCAGGAAGTACTTAAAGGGTGTCTATGGTCAAAAACGAAAAATACATTTGTATTTCTATAAATCATTTTCATACGCTCTATCCCACTCCTAATGGCCAGATCCATCTCGAAGTTTGTAAACTTACTTATTGATGATGCCCATAGAATCTACTTCCTCAATGCACTGGCATTTGACATTTGTGAATATGCTCTTCACCACTCTAACTAAGCCTGCAATCTGAACTACAACTCAATGTCTGAACTTCACACAATGTAACATCATCATTGCTTGCTGGAAGCTATGCATGATGGGCTATGTAGTCTTTAGAAATTGAGATTAAGATGAATCTGAGGACCACAGGAAATAAAAACGTATTTCCCATGCTCCTCTGCTCCGTCTAGTGGCCAACATTCAGTATTACATGACATACATTCGACCTGAAAAGAAATTATATCTAAGAAAGTTTGTTTTTGTCATTATTTGCACAAAACAAAGGTACACAGATATTTACAGGGCAAATGGTCCTACATTGTTTTATAAATAGACATCTAAGTGTTCACGGTAAGTTTCAAGCACCATTTTACAGGTGTTTACAGTAGGTCCCAAGCACCATTTTTCTAAAACCTTTGGTGGGTGGGGGAGCAATTTTAACTTGTGTTGTGCTTATAAGAGTGGAGTGGAGCCTGGCCAGTGACTTTTCCACAGTGATTTATTAAACAACAGCTTAACTGACTCCCTTCATTAACCTCCACTCCACCAAGAGACCTGCTGTGTCTTTTCTAAGTCTTCATAGTCCCCTCAGGTAACCAAGTAACCAAAGCACAGATAATGAAAGACTCTTTAGAAAACTGCAACATTTTCTTCCATGCTTGATTTAAAATAATTTATTAAAATAAATCATGATGAGGTTCATAGGTATCATCAGCCTCATTAGACTCTGCCAGCAAATGGATGTCAGGAAAACAGCCTATGGGCCTTTTAGGGAATGTTATGACCAGTAGACTTCAGTTCCAATGACATCCACAGTAGATTTAGGAGTGCCTGCCAAGAAAATGCTAACACACACATCTACAATGTGAGCATGTGGGGTTATGTAAACAAGAGAGAATGTTTCTATGGCCAACCTGACAGTTACCTTTTCCTTTCTATCCCACAGATTTAACAAAGTCATCCCGAAGAGTAAGCAGGGTGGATGCAGAAAGAAATAAACTGGCCAAGGTAATTGCTTGCATATTCCAAAAGCTCCATAAACTTACTGTCTTCCTTATTAAATCCACATAACTATCTGAATTTCTAGCTATTTAATTCAATCTTTCCCAAATTCCTCCATAATATAACATGATGAATGCAGAACCTAAATAATGGAGAGCAAAAAGCTGTGATTCTGGTTCATTCAGTAGATTTAGTCTAGACACCTAGATCGTATGATTTTAAAATGAACCTGTACTTTGCCCATACAACAGGTTTACTTTAATGCCACTGCCATGCCACTGTCTTCAAACCCCCCGGAGTAAACGTTTCATGTATTCTAAATGTGAGTTAGTCACATGCTGATAGTAACAAGCTCTTCCAAATGCAGAAGTATCAGGTATTTCCTGTGGCACCTCATGCTGGAAGTGGCAGTGGGGGACTGAAATATAAGTAAGTAATTGCATCTGGCATTGGACCCCTCTTTTAGTTACTGACCCAGATGAGTCAGTCCATATTATCAGTACTGACTTAAAGTAGATAGCATTGCTTTATATTATAACTCACACAAACAATTCTCTGAGATGGAGCACAGCTATATTCCAACCCCTTTATGACAGCGTAATGCATATACAGTATATGACAGCACAGCAGGTGGTCTTTAATGTCCAGCTGCCACATATATGTGTCACTGTGTTGCTCTGGGGTGTGCTCAATTGGCGCCCCCCAGAATTGTGACTGTGCCATCTGAGCTGAGCTGGTAGCATGGGGCCCCGATTACATCATGACTGTGCAGCCAATCACAGTAAACAAATGGATGGGAGCCCCTCCTACACACCTCCGATGTCATGACCCACCTAAAGGGCCAGCTCCCCCTGGCAGCAAAGGGTGTTGTTGGCATTTTACCATGTACAGTGATTTCAGCAGTGGCCAGTATATTTTGTTGGCCCTCTGCCTCAGAAATTGTACAATGGTGACACCTGTTCTGGTGACAGCTGTCTAAGAGGGGACTTACCCGTACTTTAGAAGGATTTCTTCTCAATTTCTGTTCTGTCTATGAGAATTGAGGGATTGAAGGGTAATCTCTTTAAACATTTGCCACTCTATCCAAAACTAAAAAAAAGTTTGACTATAGCTATCTCCTAATGGTTAAAATTTGGTTTAATGTTGATGTTGATAATATTCTTTGTCTTGCAGCGAAAAGTTGTTCCTAAAAAGAAGATACATCCACCCCCACCTTCAAATTGTGTACCGCTTCAGTCTAGCTGTAAACCCCCAGCACCGCCTTGTTGTGAGCCCTGCGCAATCTGTTACTGCCACCTCTTCCAGATGGTCTGCTACTACAAAATGGGCTACCCGCACTGCTGATAGGACATCATATGCCGTTGCACACACTGGAACGCCATAATTAACAACATTTCACATACATTTCCAGGGACACTTTTTTTTGCTGTGCGTCCAGCAAGCAATTGTAGGCAGAGGATGTACTTTAATTAGTGGTGGGGCATTTATTTAAGATGGGCATGGTTCTACAAGAGGCATGTCGTTAACCTAATGCCATATTAAACATACAGTATGTAAGAGGGCTGTAGGTATGGGGCTAAAGGAAAACAAATTATACCTTGCATTGGCTGCTGCAAAGGTGTAAGGAAAATCTGTTCTACACAGGTTTTCTGACACAATGTTCCAACGTGTCTATGATCTTTCTCTTAAAAACGTTCCCCAGAGGTCGTCCAAAACAATAGGTACCAAGGTACCAAAAGGTAAAAAGGTACCAATAGATGATGGGAGTCTATGTCCATAGGAATCCAAAGGCATACCACCCAACTTTCTGAAATGAAGAAGAGGGACACCTTCCAACACAATGTATTTAGGCAATGGACACACCCCTGCCACACAGCTATGTGGACCATTAAGAAATTATATGCCAAAAATGATTGGTTAAACCCTGAAAATATTTTTTTTTGTACTATTATGTTTTCTTTTTATTGGCTTTTCGAAATGGCAAACAAGTTGGGACAGTCTTCGTGGGTTGGCAAACTTTCGCTGGCCCAAAGAGCATCACCCCCTCCTTTCAAGTGGTGCCCAGGGCATATGTTATATGTGCCATACCCTGAAGTAGTAATGTGTCCACATATACATCTTGTTGCTGAATCTCCTGATTTAATGCCATTATGCTGCAATACAAGATATCCCCAGAGGGTGGCATGATGGGTGAAATCTGTCATACCTTCAACATGTACCAAAAACACATAGCAGCTGTATGAATGGGGGGCACTTCAATGTTCCTATGTGGAGGGGTTCTGAAAAAAAGGACATTTACTTTAAGGTTTTAGAAATGTAACTAACCGTCCTTCAACCTGCAAAACTGGAAAACATGGACACAGATCGTGGTCGCTGAGAACCAGAACTAAGAACCACGACTGGAATTCTGTATGCTGTATGTGTTTGTATTTTCACATTAGCACCAGTAGATGGCACTAGAATACAAACAAATGCTTTTACTATATTGTATACTATATCCCTTTAAATCCATTTACCAGGTTATGTTATTCCAATAATCCTATTTCAATCAATCAGATATTAATATATTATAAGTATATAGTATATATACAGTCATGGCCAAACATATTGGCAACCACTGCATTTCTGTCAGATAATGCACCACTTTGCGCAGAAAATTGTTGCATTTACAAATGTTTCGGCATTCTCCTGTTTATTTATTTTGCTTGTATTGGTATGACACAAAAAAGTTGTTGAAAAAAAAGCCAAATCTGGCACATTCCATGCAAAACTCCAACAATGGACAAAATTATTTGCACCTTCTCCAAATTACAAGGTTTTGTGGAAAAGCATGGACAATCTCATGGTTACAAGTCCATCTCCAGAGATCTTAATGTTCCTGGGTCCACTGTGCGCAACATTGTCAAGAGGTTTACAGCCCATGGCACTGTAGCTAATCTCCCTGGATGTGGACAAAAGAGAACAATTGAGGGGGGTCTCCCCTCATTGATCGGAGGGAGATCAGCAAGCTCCTAGCCGCTGAACACTCCTCTGATCACTAGACCCGGAAGTTATGTGTATTACCGGTGTCACTGTGCGCGTTCTCCGGCTCCAGGAGAAGAAGCTGATGAAGCAGATCTCGGCTTCATCAGCTTCTTTGGCATCCCTAGGTGACATTAGGGGTCTGGAAATTCCCTATTTTCTCCATAAAGAGGACCTGTGACATCCTATTTGCTATTACATAGGGGGCTTGTTTGGTATCTATTTACCCAACGTGACCCCATCTTTCATATTTTACAAAAAAATTAGGTATTATATTGTGTCTCTGTGCACTACATTTCATTTGAGTGTACTTTATCCTAAAAATACTGGTTTGATAAACAATTTGCGCAAATACCATGCGAAAAACAAATAGCAACTAGCATTTTTTTTATTCTACAGGGCCTCGAATTTAATTTGATTGCAAAACCTAATTATCTCCTAAAGATACTGAGACGGGTCAATAAAATAACTTTCTCCATTGAAAGCAGGTGGAAGTACTAGGTAGGAGGTTTTGTCTGGCGCCAACATTGTAATAAGAGATAAAAGCGCTAGGCAAAGCAGCGTGACACTCAAATGAGCAGAAAATTTGATTTCTGGGGAATTTAGTGCACAGTGTAAAGCAACACAACATTTTAATAGCATCAATTACCAAAAGCTGCAAATGTGCTAAAGTCTGAAAATGCAGATTTGCAATATTCTACATTTTCTTTTATATATTTTCTAATGTAAGTCAATGGACCCGCATAAGATGTGATGATGTCAGCAGGGCTGAGACTGCCAGAATCCAGGGGAGAAGAAGCTGTGAGACCAAGGATCGGGTAAGTATATATGCTTTACTTGAGCCCCTTAGACCATAGGAGCACTTAACCCTTGCAGCACGGGGGTAGCCCCACTGCAAGGGTAAGTTTTTGAAATTCCCAGAGTTCTTCTTTAACAGAAGCATGAGCTGATTGATATTGCTGTCCTTCTCCTTAAAGCTGACCTCTAGGCTAATTCTGCCCCCTCCGCTAAGCTTTACCTGCCCCACCATCCTAACTATTCCAGACACTGGATATGAAAAAAAAATTAAATTGCCCAAATACTTACCTGAAACTGCAGTCACGTGACACATCGGGTCCTGAATCTACATTCTTCTGCATTGAAAAGTAGTAGGGTCTGTCCTTGAGCAGCCATGCCACTATCAGGTGACATAGACACTTCCAGTGGTGTCCCTAGCCTTTTTGTCACCTGAGGCTTGGAGTTAACTCTTGGGTAGGGAGAATGGCAGATGATGCTCTGGCTGGTGTCCTGCCCTTCTCCTGAGCTGGGTGGTACACAGGCCAGAGCCTCCCAGGTTGCTAAGAGCTGGCAGGGGAGATGTATATGGACCTACATCTCCCCACGCGGCTATTAGCAACCTGGGA